GATTTTGGCCTGATAGATTGGCTTCCACAAATATTTTCTTAATTAAGTTCATGTCGAAGAAGTAGATAAGTGTCAGGGACAAGGACAGAATCTCTAGTTAGTGGAAAAATACAGACCCCCAATAAGACAGGAACTAGATCATCTTACAGTCAGGTTGCCTAACAACAGGACATTGAGGCAGAGCCCTTGACCCTTTCACCCTGTAAACATCCTATACAAACATCCTGTTAGCTTGTCCCACCTTATGCAAATAACAGCTTCTTGCTCCCCCCACCCTGCAGGAACTATATAAACCCTCTTGGAGAAAAATAAAGTTGCACCTTGATCAGAATCTAGACTTGGTGTATTTCCTTGTATCTCCTGTCCCTATCATTCCATCCTTAGGGTAGTGGAGAACCCATTGAAGCCCTGTAGGCGGGGCAGATAAGATGAAAATTTTGGAGCTTAGAAGCATCAAAATTGAAGAGTAAGGCTAATGTAATAGGCCTATTTATGACTCTGATTGCCCTAAAGGACTGTCCATGCCTGAACCTCTCCATCTGCCCCTTGGCCAGTGGGTATTCAGTTTCAAGGTCTGTTAGAAGATGCTGTGGTGGAGGAATCACGTGGTCTGATGCTTGTGGTTTGCATGTTTAGTCCAATGCCAGATTAGTGGACTACAGTGCGGGCTGTATCCTCTTCATTACCTCTCCTTCCATTGGGAGCAACCCCTGGGGATTACAGTAACACCTAGCCTATGAGAGTGTATTCAACCAAGGGTCTGGAAAGTAAAAAGGAAACTTTGGTGGGGGAGATAGAAAGTCATCGAAAGCCTTCTTTAAACCAAGGAGTTGTCACACAGTGTCCGTTAAAAGATAATCTGTTACCTCACATAGGGAAATGTCCCAAAAGACCAGAGCTATGGAAAAAATAAAAAACATGACTCCCCAGATGACAGTAATTTGTTACTGTCATCAGCATAATGCAGTACATCGTGTAGTGTACATTAACATCTGTAGCCATGGTAAATACTGAAAGCATCTCAGCATCCAAGTAGGCACACCATGGAGCTTCTGGGTCTTGTTTTGTGGACTGGGTTCTTAGCACATCAGTAGATGTGCTCCTGTACCTTGAGCTCTGCGGTCACTGGCTCAGTGTCTGCCACAGATTCTTACTACTTCGCTCCTCTGCTGCCTTTTCTCAGTAGCTGTCAGTTCAAGCTGGTCAGCTCTCCTCTCTGTAATCAGAGTGTGAACATTTGGAAACATATTTGAATTAGACAAATGACCTGCTAAATGAACCAAAAAGAACAATATAAAGCCCTAGAGCAGTATCTCCAGCCTTCAAAAGTAAATGTTTTAAGGGAGGAGATGATTCTTGGAAATGACTTTCACATATAGTATCAGAAATGAAATAAAGCTCTCCTCCCTCCTCAGATTGTTTATATTCATGTGTTCCAGTTTGTGTTAACTATTTCTTTTTAATTTTTATCCTTCTTTATTTCATGATTATTGCTTAATTTATTATATAAAATTTAGTTTTTTCATGTAGTTTTGCCTCACTCCTACAGGGTGTTTCAGGACTAATCTAAAACGGTAAAAATATCTTTCAGTTTGAGTAATCTCAGACCCAAAGTTACTTTGGTTTCAGTACTACAGAACAACAGAGTGGGAACTAAAGCAGGTCACCTGACTTCCAGACTGTGTCTCATCATCCTGGATGCCATCTATTGTATAAGAGACCCTGAGAACTACAGAAGGTTTTCTGGGCTCAGGTCTTTTGTGGCTACATCGTTTGGGTGCCTTTCCTCCCCTGACTTGGATCCGTGATACCAGCTGAGTCTTTACCTGATGACTTTCACAGATGCCATCCTTGGGTCCCAGACATGGGTGTGAAGTTCGTCTTTACTGCATTGATGGGCACATAGGGCCAGTGAACCCAAAGCTGCCATGGCAGAAGACATTTCAAAGGACATCTGGTGTTATCTATCTGATCTAGTCCATGGTATTTCACAGAGGGTTCAGAAAGAAAGTGAATAGCCTGTCAGAAGACAGCCTCCCCCCCTCCCACCCCAAAGGAGATTAGGATAGGCCCAATTGGAGGAAGTGGGTCACTAGGAGTCTTTCAAGGGCACATCTTGCCTTTGGGCTCTTGTTACTCTCCCTCTGCTTCATCTCTACCCTGAAATGAGCAGCTGTGCTCTGCCCTGCCCACCCCTCCCTGCCTCTCCACAGGCCCACTGAACAGGGCCGGCAGTGGGCCTGGCAACGCTAAGACTGACAAATGTTTCAGTGTTTCTGTTATGTGTTTCTGTTGAACACACGTGCGCACACGCATGTGTGTGCGCGCACACACACACACACACACACACACACACACACACACACACACACGGTTTTGATAGGATTCTATGACTTTAGGCAGTTCTGTTATATTAACAGTATTCTGTCAAGTGCAGAAAGATTTCCTTTCTTCTTCCTATATTTACTTTTTATGGACCTTGTCTTCCTTAATTTCAGCAATCTTACATAGTTTCTTGTTGGTAAACCTTTTGCCTATTTTGCTAAATACATTACTTTGGATTTTATTCTTACTGATTATATTGTCAGTGAATGTGTTTTTGTAATTTTTCTTCAGATTTTTAATTTCTAATATATAGAAACACAGCTAATTTTGAAAAGATTTTATTTTTTTATGCTTGTGGATGTTTGCCTACATTCCTATATATGTGCTTCATGCATTCCTCATGCCTAAGAGAGGCCTGAAGAGTGCACTGGATCCCCAGGAACTGGAGCTGTAAATGATTGTGAGCTGCTGTGTGGGTGTTGGGAATGCAACCATAGTCATCTTCAAGAGAAGCCAGTGCTCTGAACCACTGAGCCCTTGCTCCAGCCCAACACAACTGACTTTTACATTCTGACTTTATCCTTGAACTTTGACCTGTTTGTTTTCTAGCTCTGATTTTTTTTTATTTTTTATTTTTTTGGTGCATACTTTCTATAGAGTCTGTCAGATCATGTGATCTTTGAACAAAAATGATGTTTCTTCTCTTCTTTGTTCTTGGATATTTTATCCTTTTCCTCCAGTTGCTCTGGTTAAAACTTTTAGCAGTGGGTTGAATAGAAGTGACAGAAGATCATCCATATTATGTCATGTTTTTCACCATTGAATATGTCTTCTGTGGAGTCTCATGTTGGTCTTTAGCATATTAGGGAGGTTCCCTCAAGCAGGTTTATTATTTATTTATTGCTATGTTTCTCATATAGACTTTTCTTTGTTCTTTTTCAAATAGATGAACCAACTTGTTAGTGTTTTTTTGTTACTATGTGTGTTTTATTCTATTTATTTAGCATTGAGCTTTACTATTAGCCCAGGGTATCTTTAAACTTTCATGTGCATAGCAGTCTTTGTTCTGGGATTATAGGTGTGCCCTAAAGCATGAGTCACTTAGTTAATACTTAATTATTATTTAATTATCTGATATGTGTAGGTCTCATTCTGTAGTTGGCTGTCCTGCTCTCTCATTCATAAAGATATACTTCCTAGTATATGTAGTACTGGTCCTTAATATGTCATCATCTGGGAATAGTTGTAAATCTGTGATTAAATATGTTCTTAAAGGGATGATACTAGGTACTGGAGAGTACTATAAATGCAAATCACTTTAATTTTTGAGAGCAAATTATTCTCACCTTGAAATCTATGCTAGTTCACTCCCAATTGTTGGTTGCAAATTATGTGCTCTCAAAAATTAAATTTATTGCTAACAATTTTTGGTGGTGATATTATTCTTTTCCTGTTTTTTGGTGTGTGTGTGTGTGTATGTGTATACGTGTGTGTTGTTGTTGCTGCTGCTGTTTTTATTGTTTTATTTGAGACAACTTGTCTGTGTATAGCCTAGACTGGCCTTGAACTCGTGATCCTTCTGCCTTTACCTTTTGAATGCTCTGACTACAGCCTTGTACTACCCTGCATGGCTTACTGCTAGAGATTCGTAGGGAAGATTCTTTTCCTTGCCCATTTCTATGCTTAGCCTTGGCAGGTAAGGGACATTGGAAGGATGAATAGTCGGCTTGTTCCCACACTGAAAGCATCAGGACCACTGGGTGTAGGTTTCTCACCTTTATATTGGCTCTTCAGATGTATTTCCTGTCTGTTATGGGGTCCATTCACTCTCACCTTGAAATCTATGCTAGTTCACTCCCAATTGTTGGTTGCTGTGAACTAAATATACACCTGAATACAAATATAAGGGCCACTGCTCTATCTTCAAGGGAGTCAGTCTTCTCACTGTGCTTGATTACTTGGTCTTCTGCTGACCCAGGCAGTTTCAGGTGTCCTTTCAGAGGGAGAGTCTCTGCATATCTAGTTAACAGATGCTGGAAACACAAACCATTCTTTCTATTCTGCTGGATGTAGGTGGAGATCCTAAGTGATACCATCTTATATTTAAGCAAGTTTCACTGCTACCATGTCATGTATTTTCTACCTTATGTGACTAGTGCTCTTCTCTTACAGTGATAGTGTAGACTGACTATCTGCTGATTTGATGCTTATATTGTGATGTTGGTGGTGGTATTTTTACATTTTCAAAAAATTTAAATTATTTTTAATTAAGGGTATTCATGTTTGTGTGTCTGTGGATAGCAACCCATAATGCAGGTACCATCAGAGGCTGGAGGTGTTGGATTCCCTGGAGCTGGAATAAGGTGTGATTTTGATCTGCCTGCTGTGGATATTGGGAACCGATCTTGTACTTTGCATTTTGACAGAGCAAATCCCCTTTACAAATACTTTGTAAGCCAAGAAGGGATGCTGATAATAGTGTACTTTCTTTGGAAGATAGAGTTTATAAGGAAGACATTTACTTCCTTAGTCTAGAAGTAAGAGTGCATTGTGGGATTGTTGGAGAGAACAATGACCTCTTTATACAACTGATTATTACAATTAATGAGAAGTATATATTTTTGTTTTACCTGATTCACAGCATTAATAATGGTATGTCTTAATTTTTCCTGCAGGTTTTCTTTAGGTGATGCTAGGAGGCCTCTCCATGAAACAGCAGTTTTAGTAGAAGACGTGGTTCACACACAACTAATTAACCTGGTAAGATCACATATAACCCTCTTTGGTATCTCTTTTTTATTCTGTTTTTATTGTACTTCCAATCGAACACATTAAAACAAAGATTTTATTTATAGCTATATTTTTGGCTTTGTTGAGATATAGTATAATAATGCCTGTGTAAGTGCATAATATGATACATTTAATAGTATCAATAGGGATGTTGCCATAACAACAGTATGTTTATCCATCACTGATGTGCCTCAGAAGTTTGTTAGAATTCTTTAAAAGCCTGTTCTTTTTAGGGTAAAAAATATTTGCACAAATTGTATAAGGAATTCTCAAATGTTGTTCAGCTTCCTCTGGTGTCAGTATCATATATAACCATAACAGTTATGGAAACCTGTAAATAATCCTGGCCCAATAACTTTACAGCTGAATTCCAATTCCATCCTCTTTGCCTCTAATCTCTATTTCTTTTCAGAGACCCAGTCAAGGATACCACACTGGCTGTTAGATCTAGTTGCCATGTCTTGGATGTCTCTTTCTGTCTCTGCTAAGCCTGCAGTATTTCCTATCCTTTCATGACCTGAACATTTTTGAGAGGTAGAGTTCTTCTGTTCCGTGGGTCTGCTCTTATAATTAGAATGTAGTCCCATGTGTTGAAGAAGATTTTTAGAGAAATGATGGATCTACTGAGTGTAGCATGTCAAGGGCAGCCTGTCTTATTGATGTGTACTAATGTGACGTTTCTTGGATCACACATTGAAGGTAGAAATGCTGAGTTATTTCGCTGTATAGATGTACTTGTTTGATTGGTTCGTATTAAGGGTCAAACCCAAAGTTTTGTGCATGCTAAGAGTGCCTGCCATAGTACTGAGATATACTCTAAATCCATGTTACTATTATTTTAAACATTCAAGTTAGGTTAGTAAAATACATTGAAATGTATATTTTTATAGCTATGTAAATATTTTCTTCTCCTGAGTACTTTTTACCTATTATCATTATAATAGGAAATTTTATAAAATTATTACTATAATGTTTACACAGGAGTAATTTTTTGTTTCTTTCTTGTCTAGTGATTACTTGGTATCTTGCTTAACTGAAAAGCTTTCCTGCCCTGTTTATTACTTTTTGAGTATATCAATATAGATAGTGAATATTTGAATTCTTTCCTAGATGTCATTATCCAGTGTTACCATTATTTCTATTACTCAGGCTATTCCAAGGCTGGCCAGTGGGAGCAAATTGTTTCCCAGTTAACTCATGTGCTGCGTATATTAATGACCTCAGCACTTCCTCTGTGGCATAGGCACAAAGACGTCCTTCCAGTATGCTAATTTTACCAATTTTTAAAGTTTGCTGTCAGAGATTTATTGACTTAGAAATATTTCTATTTTACTGTATTCAGGAACATCAATCTTTATTGATGTTGAATTTTGAATCATAAATTGCATTTTTATATAATAAATTTAAAGAGAAATTTATTTACATTACTTTTTATTTTTTTTAATCATTTGATTTTTTCCTTTATATCTTTAGTTCTTAATCTTTTTTTGTTATATAGAAGCAATTTTGTCTGTTACTGAATAGTCCCCTAGTTTTATTATAAACATTCATTAAAAGCCTGCCTATACCCATGGATTTAAACCTTCTTTATCAATATAGGTTTATCTGCGGCAAGAGATATATTTCTTGTATTCTGTGCTAGTTTATCTGTCTTTGTACTTAGGTGACATTTGCTTATTATGTAGGTCTTACAGTGTATTCTAGAGATCTTAGGGCTATATTGCCCCCCTCCTTTTTTCTAACATATCTCACTGGTCTGGTGTAATCATAGTCCCTTATATGTATTGTCCCTTTCCAAAGTTTTAGTTATTTGTAGTTAATTGCAGCCTGAAAATATTAAATGGAGAATTCCAAAAATGAACAATTAATAAGGTTTGAAAGTACACATCTCTTTACCTGGGAAGTAAATCACTTTTGTCCCAATATCTATGTTATATGTACCACTTGCCCATTAGCCACCTAACTGCTTCCCTAGTTATCAGACTGATTGGTATTCCCTAGCTTCTGGTGTCCAAGTAATTTATTTTAAGAGAAACATTACTTTTACACAACTTTTCCACAGTATATTCTTTTTTAAGATTTATTTTTTGTGTGTAGATATATGTGCATATGAATGCAGGTGCCCTTGGAGGCCAGAAGAGGATCTCATGTCACCTGGAGCTAGAGTTACAGGTGGTTGGGAGCTGCCTGCCTGGGTATTGGGAACAGACTTTGGATCCTCTGTATACTGAGCCATCTTTCCAGCCCCTCCTAGTGTGTTCTTAAAGTTGATTTTTGGTTGTTGAACTCTTACTGTGCATAATGTATAAAGTGTTTGCATAGAAAGTGTTTAGTACACAGAGGGTTTATACTTTCTGCTCTTCCACAAATCCCTTTGAGTTGTTGAATGGAACCTAGTCCAATGGGAAGAGGAAGTTGCTTACTTATTTTTAATGTAAAATTGCTATGATCTTGTCTATCATGTATAAATTTTATTAGTATGTTTATTGAAATCACATGCATTATAACTTAGAATGGCATCTTTAGGGTATTGACTTGTTTTTTTGGAAGAACTAAGGGTCTTTATAGTTGTTCGAGACCGTTGATGCCTTTTAGGGGTATTTGAACATCTCCTTTCTTTAGGCTTGCATATTTCTTGTTACATTAATTACTTCTTAAGTATTTAATGTTCCTCATGGGCTTTATAAGTGGGATTTTCCTTTTGTAATTACATAGTGAAAACATAAGCCTGTTAATTCAAGATGCAGAGCAAACTCCAAATAGGATAAACCAAAGAAATATGGATTCAAATTGCTAAGCAGTCATAGCATAAATCCTCAAAGCTGGTAGGCTTTCCTAACCAATGATAAAGATCAGTTAAAGGCATTAGCATTCCCATCAAAATACAGAAGCAAGAATGAAAGGACTCTATAGTCCTGCAGTGTTAAAGATTTCTGGGTTGGCAGTTATTGTTTATTTGTCTCCATCTTCTTAGGCAGCTATCTTCAGTTGTCTCTGCTTTTCTCTTTTATAGGGATTGAACTTATGTATTAAGTAGTGCTATTGATATATATTTATAGTCACTATGCAGTCTCATATATATCAGCAGTTAAACCTTTTTGTGTGCGTGCATTGTGTGTGTGAGTGTGCACATATGCATGGGGCACACACACACACACACACACACACACACACACACACACACATCTGAGTATGGAAACCAGAGTTTAACATCAGCTGCCTTTGTCAGTTGCTGTCCAGCTCATCCTTTGAGACAGGGTCTCTAAAATGCAGCTTGCTAGCTTGGCTATTGTGACTGGCCAGCAAAGCCTAAACATTGTTCTCCTGTCTTAGACTTCCTGAGTGCTAGGGATTACAGGTATGCACCCCTGTTCTCAGCTATTTTGTTTGGTGTGTGAGAGCTAGCAGTTGAACTCTGGTCATTATGATCACATGGCAAGTGCTTTACCCTCTGATTGGCCTATTATGGCAGCTGCTCACATCATGCTGTTTGTTCTTCTTGATCTTCCAACACTCTGAATTTCTCTGAAGATTCGATGTCCCTTGTCAGGTTGGGTAAGGGTGCTTTGTAGATAGACCACACAGAAATGTGGATTCCCATCCTATATTCCCAATAGATTCTTTTGTAGGAGGCTGTGGCTAGGATCAGAGTTCCTATTTTAAATATATCCTTAAGATCTTTGTCATTTCAGTAATGCAAAGTCCAGCTTTGAAAGTGTCAGTTTAGAATAGTAGTTTAAAACTACTATTGTGGGAGATTTCTTTGTGTTGCTGATCTGAGACTGCCAATGGAATTGGACCTAGGTTGGTAGGGTGGAGTCCACACTAAGCTGGCCAGCAGAGTGGACCATAGAGTTTTCTGGCAGACTGAGCAGAAGCTCTAGTGACACACAGGAGGAAGGAGCAGCCTGAGGTGATGCACAGTCTTTTCTGAGCAGGGAAGAGAACTGGTGATCATTTCTCCATCACTCTGTGGAACTCTCAGGTTTATTTCCCTAATATTTAACTCCCAAGTTTTATTTTTTAATAAAGCAAAAAAAGAAGTTGCAATATCTGGTGCCCAGCATGGGGCTCTTTAACATCCATTGTGGAGAACTTTCCACTGATACCTTCTAACAGGCTAGGAATTATTATAAGTAGGCACTGTGAAGGCAATTTTTCTCTATCCTCTTTTTGTAAAGGTATAGTAAGCAAGCAGTCTTTTAAATCAATCATTATAATAGACCATCTTTTAGGTAATAAAGAAGGGAAGGGAATTTCATGCTGTAAAGAGCCCAGCATATATTTATTTATTTATTTATTTATTTATTTATTTATTTATTTATTTATTTATTTATTTATTTATTCTTAAATAAATCACCTTATTTAAGAATTAACAGATTCTTAAATCTGTTAATGTTCTCCATTTTCCAGATTTCTTTTTAATGACAAATATAGGAGAATTCCAAGGACTGGTCAGCTCTTCAATATGTTGATTATCTAGCTTCTCCTGAGCCAACTGTTCTAGTGCTTGTAATTTTTCTGATGTCAAAGGCCATTGTTCCACCCAGACAAGTTTCTCAGTTAACAATTTTAAATGTAGGGTTGTTGATACCCTTGAAAGATGACCAGCCGTTGTTTATGTATAACCTGAATGGTTGGTGCTGTTCTGGAGAATACCTTTTAATGTTTCTCTCAGAAGCATTCTTTATTTTATGGTTTGTTTCTGATATTGGAGGAATGTTAATCTGTGTTTTCCATTGCTGCAACAAATCATATCCCCATAAATTCATTGCTATGTTAGCCACATATGGTTTTAATTTTCCTATCTAACCTCCTGGCCCTATACACTTGACTGATCTTGTAATTTGTTTCACATGAGATAAAGTTTCAATCCCTAGAAGCTGAACATTTACCTCCTGAAGAGGCCAATATAGATGCCAATATTTTGGTGAAATTATTGTTACATCTGCACCTGTGTCTAGTAAACC